GAGGAGCTACAAAGTGTCTGGAAAAAAAATGAATAGAATGAATACAATTACAACTTTCATAACACTGGTAATGGTGACAATTTCCTCCTTCAATGGAAATGGGCTGAGGTCCAAGGACCGGAGAGAGCAGGCCTTAATAATATGTGACTCAGACATTATATGCTTGCAGGAGACACATTGGGATGAGAGGTGTGTGGAGGATGTAAGGAAAGAGTGGATGGGAGAAATGTATGTAAATAATGGGAGTGTGGGTGCTAGAGGGGTGGCAATATTAATTAAAGCAGGGGTGGTAACGAATATAAGGAAAGTTGAGGATGATGGTGTTGGGAGAATGGTTGGGATAATGTTCGAGTGTATGGGGGAAACTTTTAGATTAGTTAACGTATATGCACCGAATGAGGTTAGAAGGAGGAGGGAGTTTTTTGAAGGGTTGGAGGGTAAATGTGGGGGAAAATGTATGATTGTTGGTGACTTTAATGTGTGGTGTTCGAAACTGGATGTGTCTGTTAATATGGGTTTTAATAGTGATTCATCACGTGGTGCTCTCAAAACAATAATGGGGACAAATGGGCTGCAGGATGTGTGGAGGGAAAGGAACAGTAGGGAGCGGGTTTTTTCTAGGAATCAAGTGGTGGGAGGGATATTAAAACAGAGTAGAATAGATTTAGTGTGGAGTAATTTAGGGGAGAAAATTGGCAGAATTGAGTATAGGAATACTGCCATGAGTGATCATAACATCTTGAGTTTCTGCATTGGAACAGTGATGAGAGGAAGAGGAGGAGGAGTGTGGTGCCTAAATGCCTGTCTGCTGAAGGATGATGGATATAAAGTTAAAGTGAGAGAATGTATGGAAAAAAGGGGAGGTTTGAATGGTGAGGATGTGGGGGTGTGTTGGGAGGGATTTAAAAATGAAATAAAAGGGATAAGTATAGGATTTTGTAAAAATAGGAATAAAATAGAAAGAGAGAAAGAGAAAAAGGTTAGGGAAGAGTTACATTTAGAGGCTCAAAGGGTAGATATAGAAATAGGGAGAGATCTGGATGAGTATAGTCGTTTGAAGGATGAGCTGGGGGAGATAGAGAAGAGAAAATGTAGAGGGGCTATAGTTAGAAGTAGGGCTAGGTATGCGGTTGAAGGAGAGAAAAGTACAGGGTTTTTTTTGGCATTAGAGAAAGTAAAGCAGAGAAAGAATAATATAGAGCAGGTTGAAGGAAAAGGAGGAGAAATAATATCAGATTTTGTAGGGATTGCTGAGAGAGTTGAGGAGTTTTATAGGGAGTTATTTGAGGCTGAGGAGATTGATAGGGAGAGCTTAGAACAGGTGATAGATAGTATGGAAGCTAGGTTGAGTGATGAAGGTAGGGAAATGTGTGAGGGGGAGATAGGACTAGGGGAGATAGAGTTAGCAATAGCAGGGTTAGGTAGGAATAAGAGTCCAGGGATAGATGGTCTGACGTCTGAGTTCTATATAGAGTTTAAGGAGGGGCTGGCGCCAATACTCCTTAAAATGTACAGGAGCCTGGAGGAGAGGGAGGAATTGCCGGCCGGTATATCTACAGGGATTATTAGTATATTGTTTAAAAAAGGAAATAGGAATAAATTAGAAAACTATAGACCACTTAGTATGTTAAACACGGATTATAAAGTGCTAGCACGGGTGTTAGCGAATAGAATTAAGAGGGTTATAAAATCAGTAGTGGGAAACACACAGGCGTATAGTATTCCAGGGAGAGATATTTGTGACACTATTAGTAGTATTAGGGACACAATTAGTCACATGAAGGAGGGTATAGGTGGGATAGTAGTTAGTTTAGATTTAAATAAAGCTTTTGATAGGGTTAGTCATGGATTTTTGTATAGAGTGTTAGAGAAGGCAGGATTTGGGAAAAGATTAATAGGGTGGGTAAGGAGGATTTATAGTAGTGCAGTCAGTTGCGTTAAAATTAATGGGGTGGTAACCAATGTGTTTAAGTTAGGGAGGTCGGTCCGGCAAGGATGCCCTCTCTCAGCAATGCTGTACGCGCTGTCAGCCGAGCCCCTCGCGACTCTGCTGCGGCAAAACAGGTTTATAAAAGGAGTGGAGGTGCCAGGAGGGGGGGTTAGTTTAGTTTATCAGTATGCAGACGACACCACCATTACAGTTAAAGATAGGGAAAGTGTTAGGGAAGTGTTGAAGACAGTCAGTTTGTATGGTAGGGCATCAGGAGCTAGGGTGAATTTAGATAAATCAGAGATTATGTACATAGGACAGGTGAGGGATAGGAGTTGTGATATAGGGTTGAAGGAAAATAAGGACTATTTTAGGGTGTTGGGGATCAATTTAGGGATTAAAGAAGTGGAGGGTAGGGACAGACAGTATGTAGAGTTAATTAATGGAATAGTGAAGACGTTGAGGTTTTGGAAGATGAGGGGGCTTAAGTTGAGGGGGAAGATAGCTGTAGTGAATGGGTTAATCATGAGTAGGGCACTTTATATAATGACGGTTTTAGATGTGCCGGATAGTGTAGTGAATGAAATAGATAAGATAGTTAGTGAGTTCATATGGGATGGGAGGGGGGTAAGGATAGCTAGAGAAGTGCTAGAAAATGAGTGTAGGGATGGAGGTTTACAGCTGATAAACTTAAGAAGGAAAATTAAAGCAATTAGGATTAAAATGATGGTTCGCTATTTGGGAAATAAGGAAGATCAGTTATGGAAAATATTCTTAAAGGAACAAATAAATAAATGTGGAGGATGTGGTGATAGTGCTATTTTTATGGTGCTAAGAAAGGGGATGTTGAAAGGTTTGAGTGCTTATCAAAGGGAAGTAATGAGTGCATGGGGTGAGTTTTTGAAGTATGTTAGGTATGAGTGTGTGAATGTGCAGCAGGTGTGGGAGCAGCCGATCTTCCTTAACCCAAGGATCACTCATGAGCAGTGTTCCTTATTCAATCTGCCGATGTGGAGAGCGGGGATGAGGAGGGTTAAGGACTTAGTTTTAGAGTATGTACCAGGCTTTATGAAGGCACAGGTGATAGTGGATGAGGTTAGGGAAATAGATGAAGTGATGTATCCAGGGACAGCTGAACGAATGATGGAAGAAATCAAAGATGGAATGCCGAGTGAATGGTTAACAATGATTGAGAGTGAGATCGTTATAGGAAAGGAGAGTGTGGTTGATTTATATGTGGGGAAAGAGGATGTCAATGTTAAAATAGAAGATGTTAAAACAAAAAATATGTATAAATGGTTAAAAGGGGATGTTATTAGGAGACCTGCATCAGAGAGAGTATGGACGAGTGTTGTGAAAGGTCTGACTGGTAGAAGAATGTGGGAGAATGTGAAAATTAAATGGAACAGTATTGAATGTGAACATTTTGATTTTTTGTTGAGACATAATAGGGTGTTTAACAATCTGATAATTAGTCATTTTGAGGAAACTGTTGAGAGAGAGAGTGTGATGTTTGTAGAGACCAGGTTGAAACATGTTTGCATGAGTTTGTTGAATGTAGAGAGCTTGGTGTTTTTTTTGGAAGGATGAAAGAGTTAATTGGTAGATGTTGGAATGAATGGTATGTGAGAGAAATGGATTGGAAGGAGCTGTGGCTGTTTGGTGTGATTGAGAAGAAGGATGAATGCAATGTGAATCTGTTAAACTATGTTCTGAGCCACGCCAGGCGTGCGGTCCAGATAAGGAGGAACATTGCCCATTTCGAGGGTAAAATGTCTGACGTGTGGCACATAATGAAGAGGACAACAAAAAGGGACATAAACCTTGTTCTCATACATGTGAAAAAGGACATATTTTGTGAGGATTTTGTAAATGGCAGCAAATTAATTGAGATGGATGAGGAGGGAGCTTTGTGCTTCAACTTTGAAAAGTGACATAAGACACACTACTTTTCAGTGAAATAATGACAGTATATGTCATTTTTTGTATGCGTTTCATACATTATATGCAGAAAGTACTTTATGTAATTGTGATGAACTGTTAAATGTCTATTTTTGATAATAAAAGATAAAAAAAAAAAAAAAAGTAGGGGCTTGGACTGGGAGCCGTAGGGTCGCTGGTTCAAGTCCCCGACCAGACCTAAATATGGAGTGTGGACTTCTACTTGGAGAGGTCCCAGTTCACCTCCTGCCCTGCCGTGGTGCCCTTGAGCAAGGCACCGGACACCCCCCTTCCCCCCCCCTCCCATTGCTCCCCGGGCGCTGTACAATAGCTGCCCACTGCTCCTAGTACTAGACTCCTTGTACTAGGATGGGTTAAAAGCAGAGGCCAAATTTCACTGTGTGTGCTGTGTGCTCTGCATGTGTGACCATTAAAGAGGGTTTCATCCCTCCCTATTCTATTCTATAGTGTAGTATGATATAGTATCTTCAGTATAGATATATAAGCATGTAGTATTATATCGTATATATTATAGCATTTTTAGTATAGTATAAACTAGTTTGCTGTATGAAATGTTGTATCGTATAATATAGTATAGTAGTCATGTATATTAAAGTATACTATAGAAATGTTTAAAACAGTAGCTTAAATTATAGTATAGAGAACAGTATAACATTGTGTTGTATAGTAAAGGAGAGTATATTATAGAAAACAGTTTTCTGTAGTATAGTATTTTATAATATAATGAAGTGGATAGTACAGTATAGTATCTTTGGTATAGTATTCATAGATTGATCTGTACATTAAATCAGAAACAAATAAAATAATTCCTGATGGAAACTAAAGTGTGTGTGTGTGTGTGTGTGTGTGTGTGTGTGTGTGTGTGTGTGTGTGTGTGTGTGTGTGTGTGTGTGTGTGTGTGTGTGTGTGTGTGTGTGTGTGTGTGTGTGTGTGTGTGTGTGTGTGTGTGTGTGTGTGTGTGTGTGTGGTGTGTGTGTGTGTGTGTGTGTGTGTGTGTGTGTGTGTGTGTGGGTGTGTGTGTGTGTGTGTGTGTGTGTGTGTGTGTGTGTGTGTGTGTGTGTGTGTGTGTGTGTGTGTGTGTGTGTGTGTGTGTGTGTGTGTGTTTCAGGGAAGGAGGGTCACCATCAGGATGTGGATCACATGAAAGCAGATCACGATACTCACAGGAAAATTGCAGAGTGTTTGGGATTCGACCACGACCAGCCGTACATCTACGATGGAGTCGCAGGTACATATTTATATCAGTATGTAGTGTCTCTACTTTAAAGAGTCCTCTCCTGCTGATGTTCAGGTGTATATCAGTATGTAGTGTCTCTACTTTAAAGAGTCCTCTCCTGCTGATGTTCAGGTGTATATCAGTATGTAGTGTCTCTACTTTAAAGAGTCCTCTCCTGCTGATGTTCAGATGTATATCAGTATGTAGTGTCTCTACTTTAAAGAGTCCTCTCCTGCTGATGTTCAGGTGTATATCAGTATGTAGTGTCTCTACTTTAAAGAGTCCTCTCCTGCTGATGTTCAGATGTATATCAGTATGTAGTGTCTCTACTTTAAAGAGTCCTCTCCTGCTGATGTTCAGGTGTATATCAGTATGTAGTGTCTCTACTTTAAAGAGTCCTCTCCTGCTGATGTTCAGGTGTATATCAGTATGTAGTGTCTCTACTTAAAGAGTCCTCTCCTGCTGATGTTCAGGTGTATATCAGTATGTAGTGTCTCTACTTTAAAGAGTCCTCTCCTGCTGATGTTCAGGTGTATATCAGTATGTAGTGTCTCTACTTTAAAAAGTCCTCTCCTGCTGATGTTCAGGTGTATATCAGTTTGTCGTGTCTCTACTTTAAAGAGTCCTCTCCTGCTGATGTTCAGGTGTATATCAGTATGTAGTGTCTCTACTTTAAAGAGTCCTCTTCTGCTGATGTTCAGGTGTATATCAGTATGTAGTGTCTCTACTTTAAAGAGTCCTCTCCTGCTGATGTTCAGGTGTATATCAGTATGTAGTGTCTCTACTTTAAAGAGTCCTCTGCTGACTCACTGATTTTGTTTCCTCACAGATTTCTGTCATAAGAAATCCTCTCTAGAAATGTAGGACGAAAGAAGATCGAACAAACATCCGAGTGTCAACAAACATGTTGTTCAGCAAACAATAAAAGCAAATACTGAAACCTGTGTGTGTGTGTGTGTGTGTGTGTGTGTGTGTGTGTGTGTGTGTGTGTGTGTGTGTGTGTGTGTGTGTGTGTGTGTGGTGTGTGTGTGTGTGTGTGTGTGTGTGTGTGTGTGTGTGTGTGTGTGTGTGGTGTGTGTTGTGTAGGGTGTGTGTGTGTGTGTGTGTGTGTGTGTGTGTGTGTGTGTGTGTGTGTGTGTGTGTGTGTGTGTGTGTGTGTGTGTGTGTGGTGTGTGTGTGTGTGTGTGGGCCTAGGATTACTGTCCTTGTGGGGACCTAATTCTGTTTACACAGTCACGTGTGGGGACTCGCCTCCCTTATGGGGACATAATGGAGGTCCCCATGAGGGGAATCATTAATGTTAGTGTGAAGACTTGGTTAGGGTTAGGTTAGGGAAGAGTGTGGTTGCACTGGCTCTCGGTTAGCTTAGGGTGTTTAAAAAAACATTAAAAACTCCATACCGATCTAAAAGCCCTACAAAGACCTTGTAAAAACCCTTTAAAAGCGTTGTAAAAGCTCTATTTAAACAAGACTGTGGTAAAAGACTGGTTAAAAGTGCAGGACGGGGCTGGACCATGGAACGGCGGCAGAGTATGTTTAAAAGCAGGTCTCCCCAACCCAAGGTCTCTGGAGGGGGGTGTGTATGTGTTTGTGTGTATGTGTGGGTTGGTGTGTGTGTATGTGTGCAGGTGTATGTGTGCATGCGTGTGCAGGTGTATGTATGTGTGTGTGTGTATGGAGCTCGTCACAATGGAATCAATAAAAATACCTTAAATGGGGGGGGGGATCTAAAATGGTTAATTAAAAGTGACTCTAGTTCTGTTAGTTAAAACCATGCATAAAATACAATTAAAAGTGAAAGTATAAGTATTAAAAAAAGTGCAATAATAAAATAAGTGCAATTAAAACAATCTCCCCAACAATTACAATTATAATAAAAGAGGGAAGGGGGGCACACCGGGTTAGTAAAATAGTATAAAAATGAACTAGATGTCACTGAGAAATAAAAACCACTAAGATCGAGGTCGGGTAAGTTTAAAAGGTTCTTCAAAGGACAGCTGTTTGAGTTGCTCTGTTTATTTCAAAAGGTGGCAGGTCGGTGAAGAGTTTCTCTCTGCGGGGGGTTCTGCTGGCCTCCAGGTAATAAATAAATTAAATAAATAAAAGGATCCCTCCTCAAGTGGCTTTGATTACAATAAAAAGGTAAATACATGCACATATATACATTAAAGGGATAAAACATGTAATAAGTAATAAAAACATATAAGAAATAAATATAAACACGATTAAAATAAATAAGATGGTGCTAAAAACATGCGTTAAAATGGAGCACATCAGGCAAGGCAAGGCAAGTTTATTTATATAGCACCTTTCAACACAAGGCAATTCAAGGTGCTTTACAAAAATGAAAGACATTCAGACAAAGGCATTTAAAAACATTCATTAAAAAGCAAAGATAATAAAAGTTACAGTGCAGTTTAAGATGTGAATAGTTCAATTAAAAGCAGCGGCAAAGAGAAAAGTCTTCAGCCTGGATTTAAAAGTAGTCAGAGTTGCAGCGGACCGTCAGGTTTCTGGGAGTTTGTTCCAGATATTTGGAGCATAATAACTGAACGCTGCTTCTCCATGTTTAGTTCTGACTCTGGGGACAGAAAGCTGACAAGTCCCTGAAGACCTGAGAGATCTGGATGGTTCATCATTTAGCAGGAGATCAGAAATGTATTTTGGGCCTAAACCATTCAAAGCTTTATAAACCAGCAGCAGTATTTTGAAATCAGTTCTTTGACACCCAGGAAGCCAGTGTAAAGACTTCAGAACTGGATTGATGTGATCCACTTTCTTAGTGTTAGTGAGGAACCAGTGTAAAGACTTCAGAACAGGAGTGATCCACTTTCTTAGTGTCAGTGAGGAACCAGTGTAAAGACTTCAGAACTGGACTGATCCACTTTCTTAGTGTCAGTGAGGAACCAGTGTAAAGACTTCAGAACTGGAGTGATGTGATCCACTTTCTTAGTGTCAGTGAGGAACCAGTGTAAAGACTTCAGAACAGGACTGATCCACTTTCTTAGTGTCAGTGAGGAACCAGTGTAAAGACTTCAGATCAGGAGTGATGTGATCCACTTTCATAGTGTCAGTGAGGAACCAGTGTAAAGACTTCAGAACTGGAGTGGTGTGATCCACTTTCTTACGGCCCGTCCACACAGCAGCGTTAAAAAAATCTTGGAGGTGGGCGTATCTGAAGCTTGGGGATTTTTTGCGAGGAAGGCACCAACAACCAATCACATGAATCTCCCGCCCCCGACATACGAAGCAAAAAAGCCCGAAGTAAACTGGATATAAACTCCCCAAACAGGCGAAAACATACCACTGTCTCTGCCACCTCCCTCCATCAAATCAAATCAAATCAAATCAGGTTTTATTTATATAGCACATTTAAAAGCGATTTTTGGTCGAGCCAAAGTGCTGTACATGTAATAAAAACACATTACTACAAATCACAATAAACGACAATAAATTACAACAGATATATCTTAAAAAACAAAATAAAAATAAAACACACGGAAAAGTCAGGAGTCGTGCTCCGCTCTAACTAGAAAGCCAGAGAGAAGAAGTGTGTTTTTAGTTTTGATTTAAAAACCCCTAGGGTCTGGGCCGACCTCACATGGAGGGGCAGAGTGTTCCAGAGCCTAGGGCCAGCTGCTGCGAAGGCTCGGTGCCCTCTGGTTTTTAGCCTGGTCTTGGGCACTACCAGCAGCAGCTGGTCAGCAGACCTTAAAGCTCTGACTGGGGTGTAGCGCTGGAGCAGTTCAGCGATATAGGCCGGAGCCAGCCCATTTAGTGCTTTAAAAACAAATAAAAGGATTTTAAAATCAATTCTGAACCGAACTGGAAGCCAGTGTAGTGAGGCCAGAATAGGGGTGATGTGGTCGCGCTTTTTATGGCCAGTCAGCAAACGTGCAGCAGCGTTTTGGACTAGCTGTAAGCGTTTGATTGAGGCCTGGTCCATACCCACATACAGAGCGTTACAATAGTCCAGTCTCGAGGTTACAAAGGCGTTAATAACCCTTTCTAAGTCTTTAAAAGATAAATACGACTTGGTTTTGGCCAATTGTCTTATTTTAAAAAAGCAGGATTTTACTACGGTGCTGACCTGCTTGTCGAATTTAAAAGTGCTGGTGAAGGTCACTCCAAGGTTCATGACCGAGGGGAGGATGTTTTTTTTGATAGAGCCCAGAATATCAACCGGAAAGGCTGGAGGTTGCGGTCCAAAAAAGATGACCTCGGTCTTGCTCTCGTTGAGGTTGAGGAAGTTTTTGCTCAGCCAGGATTTTATCTCTGCTAAGCAGTCCATCAGCTGCTGTAGTGAGTGTGTGACATTTGCTTTGAGAGGCAGATAGATCTGTACATCGTTGGCGTAGCAGTGGAAGGGAATGTTATGTTTTGTGAGTATTGAACCTAGGGGCAGTATGTACAGTAGAAAAAGGATGGGGCCCAGAATCGAGCCTTGGGGAACCCCACAGGTAAGAGGGGCTTTGGCAGAGGAGAAGGCACCTAGCTGTACCGAGAAGCTACGGTCTGTCAGGTAGGACCTGAACCATGCAAGGGCAGAGCCTGTGATGCCAGCGGACTGTTCAAGCCGTGACAGCAGGATGCTATGGTCCACAGTGTCAAAGGCAGCTGTCAGGTCTAACAGCACCAAGACAGCTGGGCTACCTGAGTCGGCGGCTAGGAGCAGATCATTAAAAACTCTTAAAAGGGCTGTTTCAGTGCTGTGCATGGGTTTGAAGCCAGACTGAAACTTTTCATGGATTCCATGCATGGTTCAAAAAGACTGCAGCTGGGCGTAGACTACTCGCTCCAGGGCTTTTGATAAAAAAGGTAGCTGGGAGATGGGCCTAAAATGTGCGTGAATGGAGGGGTCGAGATTTTTCTTTTTAAGGAGTGGCTTACCCACGGCATGTTTGAAGGCAGCTGGGACACATCCTGAGGTAAGAGAGGTGTTTAAAAGTAATAAAATACTTGCTCCAACTGAATCAAAAACATCTCTGAGAAGGCGAGAGGGAATGCTGTCT